TTGTGGTAAATTAAATCGTTCCAAACACAACGCATGTAGTGATCACGTAGGCAAGTATCAAAGTAGAGAGAATTATTGCAGAAAAAAACAGGATAAATTACGTACAAAAATTGCTATGCTTGAGAATCATACACCTGACTTATTCGAATCAAGACACGAAATATAATTATGCGCTTGACATTTATCGATTTTTTTTTGAGGATTTCTTTAAGCAGTGCTATATCCTCTTTAATACCTACTATATTTTGCGCAATCTTATCTTTCAAAGAAAGTGCATTACATGTATTACGCAAGTATTATGAATTCTATAACTTTCGATCGATTTCGTATCTTACTCATGTCAATTTTTCGATAGAATTACTCTAATCACGACCCATTCAATTTTTGGATACAGATATACCGATTCGGGATAATTAATTTCGATTTGAAAGAATAAGTAGGATAATGTATAATCACAATCTACTTATCGATATATATATATTATTTACATACCTATCATGGCAACTGCCCGAAAAATCCAAAACTCCAAAACTAATAGCTTTACCTCCATTTTGAATCAGATCCTGAAAAAATACAACCTATCTGTTGAATCTGACCCATCCCAATTACGTGCACACGCCAATGAGCTTGGCACTATGTTATCAGACTGGAAAGCTCGTAAAGATGTGAAAGAGGCTCTTCGTCAGTGCCTATTCAAAGGAAATCAAATAGAAGCTCTTGTACCAGACAAAAGGGGGAAGAAGCTTACTATCAAGGAAAGAGCTCGGTATTGTGCAACAACTGGAGATGCGTGGGATATTTGGTTACATACTTTAGACTTAGTTATGCCAAAAAATAATACAGATGAAGTGATTGTGGCAGCTAGTTCTCGTGTTTCGCAATTTCGTAGAGAGTTAGCAGAAGCTGGGGTTGATTCCGAGCAAATTGATATATATGCCAAATTGCTAAAAGTTACTCGAGCTTCTAACGAAATTCAAAAGAGGCAACTCGAATAGCAATTATCCAATCCACCTAAAACTCCCAAACACTTTTCCTTAGAGGAAGGACTTAGAAGAATTCAAAATATTAATACTACTAAAATCCCTACTATGCAAGATCTTGCAGATGTAATTATGATGTTGAGCATGAGACCTGCTGAAGTTGTTACTCTTCGTATTATCCATTATGAACCTGGTGAATCGAATCCTTCTGAATAGTTCAAGCCTGGTTATTCTTGGTATTGTACTGGGTATATTAAAAATAAAGGAGAGGCAAAAAATAATCCTGAACCTCAGTAATTTCTATCTATGGAAAAGAATCCAAAACATACAAAAGAATTGCTTACCTGGATCCAAGATGCAATAGCAACTGGAAAGTTACGCAATCCTGTCTATAGTATTAGTGGAAAACGCAGTACAGGAGTATTTAGTAAATTTTTAAAACCATATGGTATTACAGCTAAAAGATTGAGAAAAATCGGAGGTAAATATGCTTCTAGAGTTCATGGTGGTCAAAATTCAACTTCACAGCATCTCAATTTTCTTATCAGAATTGCATTGAGACATAAGATAGATTGTTTTGATGCAGGAAAAAATTATGCTGAGGGTGACACTTCCGATTCTGAGTCTGATGATTCTTTAGAGTTAAAACCTTCTGATCTCAAGGCTCAAGCTTCGACATCTCAGCCTAAGAATAATAACTATAATCCTTTTGGATCTCAGATTGCGGAAATAGATTCAATGTTAGTCACACTCTAGTCACCTTGGTATAAATGTGCCAGCTCACAGTGTAACTGCCTTTAGCAATTCTATTAATTTCATTTCGAGATTTTTTATTTATCAAATGTAGGGAAAGCAAGTCGTTCTACCCATCTGCCATATATATTTTTTCAGTTAGCTCCGGAGACAAAGGTAATAATTACATAAATCGTGATAAAAAATATTTCTAGTATAATACCCAAAATGACAAAAATTTAATAAATATCTATGATATCTAAATTTGGATATCAGACAATTGATAAGCTAATAAATTAACCTATTTGCCATATTTATTTTTTCGGTTAGCTCCATTGATCTATTAAATAAAAAGCTTTAGTAATAAAATCCACACGTTTGAGATATCAATTATATAATATGAGTTATAACAAAGTACGAGATAAGTTGAGTGAATATGGTGAAAATTATATTGTTAACATTATTAAAACGTCAGAAGCATGGTTACGGTTTGCAAAAAATTATTCACCAAAATATATACACAATTGTTTATTAAAATTAGGATATGAAATAAATAATAGAGATTACTGGAAAAATTTTGTATTTCGTATCAAAAATAATTTAACCAGCTATAAACAAATAGGTAATGACCCTGAATATAGGAATTTTAAAGTTCAACTAGCATTGTATAAAAAAAATCGTGCATCATTAATTATCTAGCGAACATATCATTTATGGAAAAAACAAATTAATTCTACTAAAATAATTCAGCATACAGTAATTAAATAGCTTTATCGACCTGATGGATCAATTATAAAGCAAGCCAAAGATCGATATTATCAAAATGCGAATAAGCTTAATTAAAAAATACTAATTTCGTTTCAACTGCATTAATATCATATTTTTTTAGCTAGATATATTTTTTGTATAATATATATTAGTAGAGTTATTTCACAGTACTGATCAAAATGATAGAAAATTTTAATGATCATGTAGAACGAAAAGTGAAAAATGAGTTTAAATATCTCAAAGATTTCATTATAGATCTGGAATACGGAATGTGTATATTCCATAAAAAACTAGAGAATATTGTCGATCAATGTAATTATATATATTCAGATAATTATGATTATAATAGCAATATCTCAAATTCTGAAACTGAATTGTCTGATGATATGAAAATACATAAATGTATTCCAAAAAATAAGCTGGCAAAAAAAATATACAAGTCTAAAGACCTTGGTCTGGTCTATTCTATAACTAAAAAGAAGCGAAATAAGAAAAGTATAATATATAAAAATAAGTAAAGGTTAATATGTAATCCTGATTATTCAATTTTTGCATACCTTGTCATACCCAAAATTTGAGAAAACATAGCTTCGAGATTCCATCTCATCAAAAAAGCAGTAAATATAGGTACTATGACTAAGTCTCAAAATAATAAGTGTAAAACTATGGGTAAGTTTACTAATAATCCCTCCTAGTATATAAAGTTGCATAATTTTCATAAATATAAGCATACATACAATTCAAAAAATAGTTTTGTTATAGTCAAGAATATACATAAAGATAGTGTAGTGGGAGTGTTCGATTATTCTGAACTACATGTATATTTGAAAATGCACCACCCGACGCTCCTGGCATAATTCCATTTCAACTGTATTAATAAACTGCAATAATCAGATTTTTTTACGTCAATGTTTTTATTATCTGTAATCGAAGCATTAATATGGATGCAGAGTCGATAATGAGAGGTTAACTTTATTTTGAAAAAATTGATAGAATTGATCTCACAAGTTTCGTGCGATCCAGTTTCTATATAAAAGTTTGTGAAATATTCTTGTGCAGCATAGATAATCGTTATACGTATTTTTTTCATTTTATTTAACCTGGAAATTACTTCTATACCACATATGCTTTTCGATAAGAACATACTAAACGAAACTCGAAAAGGATATAAGAAAAAATAGACCGTTAATGTTTTATTAGTAGGATTAATAAAACCCTCAAGTTATGGGGAGTCGAGATTGCAAGATTGCGAGATCATCGAGATTAAGCCTTATCAGAACGATCGTCTTATCTAAATGAAATTCATTCTCCTCAATAATACCAAATATATATATATATTTCAGCTTTGTTGAATTCTTGACATTTCGTTGCATATGACAATATAACAGGTTTATTTCAATCTTGTTGGTTTTATAATTACTATGTTAAGAATGAACAGATCGTAAGTAGACTCATCGGAGATTTGAATGATAAAGGTAAGATTCCTCTAGAGAGTTTTGGATTTCGTGAAGTATATAAATAAGTAGGTTTTGAGAGACTCTGTCCTTACTTACAATTTTTTAAGGTATACATAATCCTGAAGAAATATTACATCGCATCAATTCAGATATTATTTACAAGAAATTATTCATCTATACAAGGAATTTTACTTACTATGAATCTTCATTTTAGGAACTACAAAAATGTCTGGTATTATTAGTCTCAACTTTCGCATCCATGGTGATATAAATGATGAAGAAATTTTTGTAATCGAAATTCCTAAAGAAAAAAAGGTCGATATGCTCAACCCTTGGTAAAGAAACGATTAGCACCCCTAAAAAATAATATTCCTTCTACAAAAATTAATCTTCAAACGGCGAGTGAAATGAGAATGAAAGCAATGACAAAAATTTCTAATTATTATGACAGAGATATTAATAAAGATGAAATTCACATTTTAGTATTCCTTCCTGAATAAATAGATTTTTTATCAGATAATATCCGTGTATTTTATGAATATGTATTTGCAAATTTATTACTGTGTAATAGATCTTTGACCTTATTTTTTGTATCTGCCTTATTACGGACAATGTTTTTTATAATAAAGTAAACTCATGTCATAAACCAGAATATCTCAATATATATGATTGCAGGTACGATCATGTTTAAAACTTAAACACCTTGAACTTAGTGGTTACATAATAGGTAATAAAGCTAACAAGGAAATAGCACATAAATGTACAAATTTAAAATATTTCAGTTTGGTAAGAAAGCATTAGAAAGCATTACTCGAATGTACACGTCAAATTTGAATCAAATAAATAGATGTATATATGTTAGTATGGCTAAGTCTCGCAATAATAAGTATAAAACATCTGGAAAGTTTATCGATATTCCCTCCCAGTATATGGATTTGCTTAATCCAAATAAATATAAACACATGTACGATCCAAAGAATAGCTTTGTTATAGTCAAAAATATACGTAAAGATAGTATAGTAGGAGTGTTTGATTATACTGAACTATATGTATACATGGAAATGCATCACCTGATACTCTTATAATTTCGTTTTATAGTAAGATATTTCAACTGCATTTATAAATAGCACCCTGATTAAAGCTCCTCATAGGCCGAGCTGAGCTGAGCCTTATAAAGCTCAGGTCGAGCCTCATAGTAAGCTTATAAGCAACGGATAATTTTTTTTTAAAAAAAATTATGTGGGCTTTTATTTAAAGCTCCAAATTTTTAAGGCTTGCGAACCTACTTTAAGGCTCGAGCCTTGTGAGCCAGGCCTTAGTTGGGCTTGGCTTGTGAGCCTATGAGCCTATAATATCAGGCTCGGCTCGCTAGGCTCACGAGCCTTAAGGCTTATGCGGAACTTTAGCCCTAATAATCAGATTTTTTACATATTACTAAAGCTCCTCATAGGCTTTAAAGCTCGCGAGCCTAGCGAGCCGAGCTGATCCAAGCTGAGCCAAACCTGATATTATAGGCTCATAGGCTCGCGAGCCAAGCTCAACTAAGATCTGGCTCACAAGGCTCGAGCCTCAAAGTAGGCTCGTGAGCCTTAAAAATTTTGGGGCTTTAAATAAAAGCCCACATAATTTTTTTTATTTTAAAATTCGTGGCTTTTAAATAAAGTCACGAATTTTTTTTTAAAAAAAAAATTATCCGTTGCTATTAAATAGCAATGGAAAAAATCAAATTAAAAAAGCGATCCGTCACTATTTAAAGTGACAGATTGCTAAAAAAATAAAAAAAAGTGATCTGTCACTATTTAAAGTGACGGATCGCTAAAAAAAAAAAGCGATCTGTCACTAAAAAAAAAATTAAAATTTCGTGGCTTTATTTAAAAGCCACGAAATTATTTTTTTAAAAAAAAAAGTGATCCGTCACTATTTAAAATGACGGATTGCTAAAAAAAATAAAAAAAAGTGATCTGTCACTATTTAAAGCGACGGATCGCTAAAAAAAAAAATTATTTTTTTTAAAAAAAAAAGCAATCTGTCACTATTTAAAGTGATGGATCGCTAAAA